CAGTCCTTCTCCTTCGTCGAGAACCCCATCCTTCGAGAAATCTTCGACTACTTGAGTCCATCCATTTCGATCCAACGCGCCAACTTGAGTGCCAGTGCTATCCGATATAAGATCATTGAAGAGTATAACCGCCACAAGCAAAAGGTTATTGAGGTGCTGAGGAACTCCAGTGGATTGCTTCATATATCATTTGATGGCTGGACCTCTCGAAATAAGCTCGCCCTGTATGGGATTGCTTGCTTTTTCAGAGATGAGAAGGATCGGCCATGCAAAATCATAATTGGGGTTCCAGAGGCTCATCGTCACTTCGGCTCAACAATCGGTGGGGAGGTTCTCGACGTCCTACATACTCTTGGCGTGAGTCCAGAGAAGATTGGCTATTTCACGCTTGACAACGCTGAAAATAACGATACTGCAATGGATGTTATTGGTGCTGAACTTGGGTTCAATGGCCGATTACGCCGAGGACGCTGTATTGGCCACACAATTAACTTGTCAGCCAAGTCGCTCTTATATGGCAGAAACACCGACGCGTTCGAGCAGCAATTATCAGGCGCAGAAGCGTTATCTGATGCTGAATACGCTCGATGGCGCAAAAAAGTACCTGTTGGCAAGTTACATAATATCGTTGTTGATGTGCGCATTAGCCACCGGTTAACTTACTTCTTCAAGGAGGTCCAGATGGTAAGCGATTTTACAAAACCTTATTCGCCTCGTACTAATTTGGCACGTCAAACAGGAAGAAATCAATCGCGCCACTACCCTTAAATTACGATGGAAGAAACCGCTCAAGCTAATCGTGGATAATGACACGCGGTGGCTGTCACAACTCTACATGATCCGCAGAGCTCTACGGTTGAGAACATCTGTCGAACTGCTACTTATCAGGTATAAGGCGCAGTGGGAGGACGAAAATCGGTCTAAAAGGACTGGCCAAGTAACACAAGCCAGGTTGGCGAAGAAACCACGCATCCTGCGAGACGAGAATCAATTAGCAGACAAGGACTGGGAGGTTCTTTACCATCTGGAGGCTATTTTGACTGTTTTTGAGACTGTGGTAAAGACACTTGAGGGCGACGGGCATATCCGCAAGCGTAAGCAAGGCTGGACCGGCTCCTATGGCAACATCTGGGATGTGGTGCTTGGCTACGAGTTGCTACTTAACACACTGGAGGAATATAAACAGCTTGCTGCTGGTTTTCCTGACCCCGAGCATTTCCGCATTGGAATCAACCTTGCTTGGGATAAGCTGGATGAATATTATCAGCGGCTGGACGAGACGCCGATTTATTATACCGCTATGGCGCTCCATCCAGCCTATCGTTGGGACTGGTTTGACGAAACGTGGTCACATAAGCCTAGTTGGGTTAAAAAGGCAAAAGAGATGGTTGCCGACGTCTGGCTGTCTGAGTACGCTCATCTTGAGGTTAGAACTACCAGCAGTAGAGGCGACGACGAGCCACCAGCAAAAAGGCCTCGGTTTTTCAACCCTTTCGAGAAGAACAGTCGTCAGCCAAGCTCAATGCCAGCCTATGCAGCAGCTATAATTGGCGACGAGTACCAGGCGTGGCAGACGGATCGTGA